ACCCAACTGGAAAAATAACCCAAAAAAGTTTTTTTTTTCTGAAAATGACTCCAGGGTAATGCTTGATGCCTCCAACCGCCGGTCGCTCAGTCACGCAACGCCGGTTGTGCAGTCGCACACGTTTTCAAGCTCTGAGTGTATGCGGTGCTACACTGAGTCTACAGTGGGTCCCGGGGCCTAAGTCCAAATTTTTGTACTTCCAAATGTCAAAATACGTAGTACATTAGGCAAATGTTAACTTGGAAAGCATATCCATATATCTTCGTTATCTTTTCAAATAATAATAATAATAATACAATCAACATCTTGTGACTTAAGACTTCATGAATTTGAATCTAAGTGAATTGTTTGTTCAAGTAGATCATCCGTTATCTCTACACAAATGCTTTTAATTTGTGTTTCCTTTGAGACCTCAGACAGTGCCGTACATAATAGCTTCCTGTTTAGCATTATAGCTTCCTACATAAAGTTGTGGGTTTTAATGATAATAAAAACCGAATAGCTGTGATGTAATTGAACCTGTTTAAAGCGTAAAGACGCAGGCTGGGACTACAGTATGGATTTGCTACGGTTAATTAACTTTTACATGACGTGATAAACCGAAACAATTAAACTATGTGTCACGCAATAAACCGAAACAATTGAACATGGCAAGAATTATTTCTAAACAGAATAAACTCAGGTATACCAACAACAAAAATTATGATCATCATACCATTCTGAGCAACTCCAGTACTCAGGGAAACCCTTTTAAACACTTCTATAGATCATTAATAGCTTAGTTCATATTTATTTGGTTTAAGAAAACAAGAAGAAAAAAAAAACACCCAGGTAAATCAAGCAATACACAATTACACTGTGTATATAACTGCATCAAAATACAGTTAAAACTTCAGAGGAAATGTAAGCTTTCATTTCAGTTAAATACCACTTTTGGGACTGGGGTTTTCATGGTTTGTAGCAGCTTTGGTCTTTAATTAGAAACAATTATTCTTATAAAAATAAAAGACAGACATTCAGTTGGGGTCACAGAAAGGTCGTCTTTAATTTGAGCTGGTCTTTAATTGGAGGTATCTTTAATTAGAAGGGACCTATTTGCAAAATTTTGTTATGAAAATCACCCTTCAGCAGAGATAAACGATTATTAAAATAAATTATCATATTATTTAGGAATATTAGATTCAGATTTGTCATTTTCCACCACCACTACCTTTTTTTGCAAAAACTTGGCCTTTGTGCAACCACATTTTAATATCACAGAAACAAAAAGGGTTTTATCAGCCCCTCAACAAACCCACACCAAGATAATGACCTTCGTATCAACTCTGTAATGTTCAACATCAAACATTATGTGACAGCTAATTAATGCATGTTTGTGAAGTTACTGGTTGCTATGAAGTTTGCCGTCACACAAAACACTACTGTCAACATTCGTTGGTTAACATCATAACAAACAGAATCATAAAATAATCACAAACAAAATAATTAAATTCACTACATATGTAATATCTATGCAACAAATCTGTTGGGATTAACACTGACTGGCTGCCTACCCCAAACCCTTGAATCTAATTTCATGTATTGGCCTATTCATTTTTTTTTCTTTGTGTGGAAATGGCTGCTAATATTTTCTCAGCATGTTTCCTACCAAACAATCAGAATTGGCTAAAATTGACACAGAATCAAATTGGAGCTGATATTTTCAGTTCTTTGACCCATAAATTGACAAGAGTATTTATACCATGGTGGGAGTGGGCAGACATCTAGGCCTATATGATGTGAAAAAATGTTTGCGAAAATTATGACAGCAGAAAATTATGACAGCATAGACTATTGTAAAAAGGTGATGGAGTTGGAATGGTTTCTGAACTTCTTCAAAACATAATAACTTATAATAAATTATAATAACTAAGGAATTTGTGTACTTTTTAACATATGGTCTTGATAACCATGTGACATGTCATGATAATTATGTGACCTATGTCATGATAATTATTTGACCTTTGCCATTATAATTTATATGACCTATATTTATGATATTAGGTTGATAATTATTATGTGAATATTTGTCTCTAAACCTTACATTTTACAATCGTAATAAGCTCGGATATACCTTTTTGATTAGTAATAATAATCATTCATGATCATTCATAATAAAAATAAGGCCAAAAATAATAAATTGTTTGTTTGCCCTTCTTTTAAAAAAATTATAAATAAGGGCAGGTGGAGAAAGTTTTTTATTTATTTATTTTAAAAAAATACTCATCAGATGAATTAAAAATAACCCACAGAGACCTAGAATGGCAATATCTTACATCAGACAACAATTTTAGACTAATTTGTAGGGCATCTGGCAAAAAATAAAGATAAATTCACTTACATTTTTTTTTAATTGGTAAAGAAAAAAAAGTTTTTTTTTTGTTTTTCAGGCCCTATATCTTTTAGTGGTGGGTGAAGGAGGGCAAACAAACAATTTTTTTTTGGCCTAATATAGGGCTAAGTCGGACTTAAGGAGATTATCTTTTGTGTCACTTTCCGCTTAACATCATGTTATTTTCCTCTCAACATCGTTTCTTTAATTGTCTCTAATTTCTCCATTGTTCCCCTTAAGGTAGGTTTTAGCAACCTAACAATAATAATAATAATAATTATAACAATAATAATGATAATAATAATATTAATAATAATAATAATAATAATAACAATAATAATAATAATAATAATAATAATAATAATAATAATAATAATAATAATAATAATAACTTACATATAATTGTCATTAAATGACAAAAAATGAAGCTGGACATAAAATATAATTTGCTTATTAACACCACTACGTTGTTAAGTTCAAATGCAACATTTGTTTCTACATTCACATTAAGAACTACATTATAAATATTAATACAGAAATTAAGTTAATACAGTACATAACATTAAGATGGGATAAATTTTAACATTCCAATATGAATAAATCTATGATTAATTGATTGGCAGAATACTTAATTCCTTAGTAATGTCCTGTTAGTCTGACCACGGTCTGATGAACTTTAAATACCAGTACGTACAATTTACATTAATCACATCAATCAAAAAACCAACTGACATCATTTTCACTTGTCACATACCTTGGTTTATCTGTTTTATGATTAATTGTTTACTTGATTTTGAAAACGTGACTATGATGAACTTGAAAGGTCAATCTTAGCTTCCTCATTAATATGCAATATCTCCATAGAGATATTCGCATCAGATTAAACAAACATCTACCAACTTCATCTTTCTTTCTGGCCATTAACTTTTGCTTACAAGTGAAATAATCTAAAATTTTATCTCTCCAGGGCATAATATAAGGTTCACTGTTTACCACTTTACATTTGATAAGACAAATTGAAGGTTTTAGATGTGTATAAGAGACAGTATATATCCTTTAATAATGTATATTTTAACAATAATTGTTATTTTTATTTTTTATCCATGTTTCTTTTGCACATAAATTGAATAAATAAATATATACAATGTTATTTATTCAATATCTCCATCATTATTGCAAATTTCAACCCGGTAAATTTTCCATTTATATATTTATTTATAATGTAATACAATATTTTAACATTAAACCATACAGTTTATTGTGATCCTTACATTTTTTTTCATGATCTATAATAAGTATTATTTAGGCCTATATGTTTTCATAAGGCCCTATAAAAAATATTATTTGTTTATCACCCTATCTGGGCAGGAAAAGTGATGAGGGAGGGAGTTTTTTTTTTTTTTTTTAATTTTTTATTTAATTTAGGTTGTTTTTATTTTGCTAAAGCCAAATATCACCCTTGGGTTGTTTGCTGGTGCATTGATATTCAAAGTAAAACATGATTTAGATAAAGCAAACAATATCTACTAACTATTTTATAAAATGAATGAAAAAAAAAAAAAAAAAAAATTTTTTTTTTTTTTTTTTTCACTACCATAAAAAACATGCGCGTGAGGGTGATAAACTAATAATTTTTTTTATTGGGCCTAATGCTATGATTAAAAATAAAAATATATTATTTTTGTGTTTTGAATCTTGCAAAAACAAATTTATTTGACAATAAATCATACTCTAATGCCGTGGAATAAATCTTCATTGGGTGATTTTCATAAAAAAATAATATTTCTAATAATAATAACATATGTTTTTGATATTTATGTAATAAAACCTGTAAAATCTGTAAATCATTGAAAACTGATGTAATAACATTTTTACGATATGTGACGGTAATACAGGAAAAAAATGTTGGTTGCACATTATTTAGTCGTGATGTGCCTATATATGGTAATGATGTGATGTCACCATGACCATATTAAGGCATGTCACAGGTTTTTGTCAAGTAAAGTTTTATATAGTGTCTTGCAACTCTGTTCAGACTTTTATCAAATTTTCCTTGACAAAAAAAAAAACAAACAAAAAAACTATAAGTTTTCTTCAAGGCTATCTTGAAAAAGAAAATATATTACGATATATTAGGGCTTTAGATATAACTAATAAATAAATATTACCATCCAGATTGTATTGTTTAAAATGGTGACCTTTATCTCTTTTTACAAAAAGAATAATCTATAAATACCATAATTAATTTGATTTTATTTGATTTTATTTATTTCCAGGTAAAATTAATATACAAAATACAATAAAAAAATTCAGATGACAAAAACAAAAGCCTGAGGATTACCTAAAAGCTATCCCAATCACTATCTAAAAGGTTCTTCCAGTGAACATGAAAAAATTGATTGATAATGATTGCTATTTGAGTTTTATCTTAAAAGTAGGCCTACTTTCACAAAAGCTGTGCAGGCATATGCCTAAGTGCTGGCCTATGTATGCCTTAAGAAGGGTATAACTCAGGGGAGATATCAAACAAGCTGAGAAAATTATTGTTTTTCAAGGCCATCTTGAAAAAAGAAATTACCTAACGATATATCTCAACATATTTGAGGTGGCATTACAGGGTCACACCTACCTTGTCTACATTTGGATACCAAACCCACGGAAACATCTGGCTTGCTTGAATTTTCTTCATGTGTATAATAAGTAGTCCTAAGCTATCTCTCTTCAGACAGTTCTGGCCAAAGAGAGGATCAACACCAACTGGTAAAACAGGAAATCGATGTATTTATTAAGTTCATAGGCCATCAAGGCTTACCACCACTGTAAATCGACACCGATATATCCACCACAAAAGCATTTTAAAATTCAGTGTGAACCAAGGTGGAGATGGACTGGTGGTGCACTTTGATGTGTTCACCTCGAGTCATCCACACAAGCTTAATACTGTCCAATGAGACAATATAAACAGAAGCTACATTCTTTGGAAGAACCGTTACTACGGCAACCACCTCCAGGCTGTCCCAAATGTCTTTTAAAGGTCAGGATTTCTTCCTCTCATAAAAAACTTGAATTAGAAAACTAGATAGTCGAGCTTCCTCATTAATATGCAATATCTCCATAGAGATATTCGCATCAGATTAAACAAACATCTACCAACTTCATCTTTCTTTCTGGCCATTAACTTTTGCTTACAAGTGAAATAATCTAAAATTTTATCTCTCCAGGGCATAATATAAGGTTCACTGTTTACCACTTTACATTTGATAAGACAAATTGAAGGTTTTCTGATGTCTGCATTTTCTGAAAGTAATTTGCTTGCTTGACAGAGTCTTGTTAAAACAGCCCTATTCAATCCAATATTTACCATAACTATGGCTATATTCCTTTAAATTTTGTTTCATTTTCCGCTGCAATATAATTACTTATTTATTCTTATCTGTACCTGGAATATGGACGACACTGATACTATAGAATATGAAAATGCCTTTTGCTCTGATGACACTCAAAATTGTTTGTAAAACAGAATTATATAAAGGATTGTTATCATTGCTGTCATGAGAATTGATGTTTTGAATTATAAAGTAAAAAAAAAATAATTCATTAAAAAACAAGAGCTACCAAAACCTAAGCTTGGGCCGTAATGGTACTGGTGAACGTAATACAGTATGTAAATTCTAACCATAAAGAACATAAGAAAATGGGATAGAAAAAAAATCAAAACACAAAAAATAGCATTTCTACTATCTATCACAGAAAAAGAAAAAATAACTTGTTAAAACTTTGCAAAATAAAAGCAGTGAGAAATATAATATAAAACTGTATAGGTCTTATTTTATTTGTGTCTTGATGTATATATTATTTATAGTAGATTTTTTCATTTCATTTCTTTCTCATTTAAAAGCGAGCACTAACTAAAGCCCTATAAATTTTATCAAAAGGTCCACTGATTAATCTCAGATAAGGCTGTTACCATTAGTATATAGGATAGGGAATAGCAAAGAGTAAATATTCTTACTAAAAAATAATTTCAAATCACAGACATGAAACTAACAATTATTTTATTTGGCCTAAGAAAGTGTAATACACAACTTCAAGTATTGAAATGCACGCCAGCACGATGGCGTGATCCCAACACGATTGCGTGCATTCAATACTTGGGGTATGTGTAATACTTTCTTATAAATTTTACTATCCATTAAATTGTTATGATCAGTAACTGTGAAAATACATGGTTGTATCCGAATCCACATCTTAAGCCACTAGGCCACTCTCAAGCCATATTGACATTTTGTTGGATCAGTGCTAAATACTTCTATAGGAAAATAATTTAACATAATGACAGGAAAATGTAGGCCTAACATAAACCAAGTATATTCTGAAATTACCTATTCTTAAAATAAATCTATAAATAAACAAACAATAAAATATTTTAATAGGCATAGGCATTTAAAACATTTTAATTTACAGTGTTTATATTCTAATCGCAGTCGTAATACACAATTTAAATTAATCATCGCCCCCTCCCCCACCTCCTAAAAGACTTTGGCGTAAAATTATATCCATGTTCCATTATTTATTAAATAAAATGTGTACATGTCTTTTGGAGTGTTTATAGTACGTGTAGTGTGTGTGAACACGTAGGCCTGTGGACATAATGCGGATATGCATATACCAATTATGACAGCAAAACTGAATTATGAGAACTGAACAGAATGATGATATAAAGATACAAGGTTTATTATTGTCTGTGTTGACGTGCTAAAAAATACTAAAAGAATAACACAGTGTTTAAAATTCTTACTTTGTTTATTTAAAATGTGTTATTTTTTAGGTCAGTCACATTTTATGAGCTGTATGTCCGCTTCAACAGTAAATTATATATACATATATTATACTGTATATCACCAGCACGTACTACCTTGCAATCAAATGTTACTCTTTATTTTAGTTTTTTTACTTTATATTTATACAGGTTAATTTAGGTGCCTTATTAGACGGTAAAATTGAAATAATAAGATGCTTCATAAACTCAGTCTCATTATAAATCTTACGTAGTGGAGATGGTTTTGAGTTGTGAGAAAAAAAAACCCCTGTGCTGTCAAAGGATTTGAACCCAGGAACCCAGGATTGGAAGGCAAGCACGTAACCACCAAACAACATCTACACTATTATTGTAGATTATCAAATTTACTTTGGCAAAAAAACTGTTGTATGCCCATATATCATGATGTGGTAATGATGATTTTTTCTCCTGCTAATTAACAGACGCACGTCTGTAAATATTGTTTTCTATTGAGTTACTCACTGTGTTTATATTGTACCAATTAATGTCGTAGCTGATTAAATGTCTATTGCTCAGGTTTCAAGATTTAAGATTAACTGTCCAAAAAGGAAATTCTATCTGAGAAAATGTCTTTCCTTACAAAAACATAACATTAACACTTAAATACAACCAGTCATACTGATCTATAATATGTAAGCTAACTACAAAAGTAGACACTAGGTTGTTGGATGGGATGTCCACATAAAAATATGTCAAAAAAAAGGGGAAAAAAATTCTTTAAATAATAACAAAAGAGCCAGATACAGGTAAATTATATACATAGCAATTAAATAATGGGTAGAAATACAAAAATATAGGCAAATTCAATTTAAAGTATATATAAAAAATATATATATACCGAATTTAAATATTAAATTATTAAATAAAAGCTTTGCTTCTAGTCTAATCACGGACCTATATATTCATATCATTAACTTACCGTAATCTATTTTTCAAATGATGGGAGGGGGGAGCAGGGTTGTAGCTAATGAAAAATAAGGGTGGGGAAAGATATTTTGAGGGTGGGTGCATGATAACATTGGTAAACTCTAGATAATACAAGTGGATTTTAAAGATGGGAAAGTGGGTTAAGGGTGGGCAAAGGCCATGGAATTAGCTTTAGACTGGGTGGAAAATTTCAAGGCTGGGTGGTCCCGCCCACCTCCGCCCACTATAACTACATCCCTGGAGGTGGGGGGGAGACACGAAGGGTAAGTGGGAGGCTCGATGATAAACAAGTGAATAGAGCTATAGGGACTGGCAAGATAAGGTGATATGACGTGAATTTTAACCAATTGAGCGAATTTATTTTTATCAGAAAATTTCTAGTAGGAAGGCGTTAGCGTGGGGAGAAAACATACACCCTCTGCGCACCCATATAGATACATTAACTGCACTGATTATTGCTTCAGACATGTGTGACCTGCTACCATAAAAAGGCTGTAAATTTATCCTCAGGTCAAAATGAGATTTTGTGTTGATGGCATAGAATACATCATTTACTTTAAAAAAAATGACGGTTAAATGAACTCAACTGGGTGTCTTTGGCAATTGTGGTCACATTTTGGGTTCGTTTCTATTAAATTTTTTAATAAATTCCTATACGGAATAGCAAAATTAATAGTTATACTTTATTTTTTACACAAAAACCCATTTCGCACAAAATACACGATGTACCTGTATGACCTATTGAGGCATCCTTCTCAAGACATAGCAATGTGAGTTGACAGCCCTTTTGTGGTAGGCAGGTCATATATATATGACTGCATAAAATAATCAGTGTCTATGTTATAATCTATGTCATCCTATCTCTTGGAAGTTGAACAATGCTGTACTTGATAATGTAGTCTGCAAAAAGTCTGAACAATGCTTTACTATAATAAGCCGATGACATCTGATTAAACATCTGATTAAACATCTATTGAAATGAAACAAATCTGAGAGATGACAATAACCTCAAAAATGCATTATCATTATAAATCAACAAAAATAATGTTCTTATGAAAATGTACCCACGGAACAAAGGTGTTTGGCTTGGAGATTTATAGACCTCCTACTTACAGAAAGTCCTTAAATTTATTATCAGCCGATTTAAGGATCAGAACATTATTTATTACATGCTTGTTAATCGGCATGAAAAACAAATGTTCTTGTTCCGATTTTTGAATTGAAAGCTAATAAATTACTTAATTATACAATTTAAATATTTAGACTTTTTTAATACAAGAAAGACTGATAATAATAATATAGACACAGACATAAGTAAAGTAAATCCTTGCCAAGCCATGAGGCTTAAATGGGCTGGAGCTTCCCCAATTTCAACATAGATGTAGATATACTGTATTGCCACATCAATAAAAATGCAATACTCAGTTCATTGCTACAGTAACATATAAACAAACATAAGAAAAAACATTTAAAAAATTAAATCATATAAGAATACAATATGTGCGAATATTAAAATTTAAAAAGATAAAAATTTGAATTTATTATTTATTTAATTTATAATTTATTGCAATTTGTATCAAATTTAAAAAAAAATTAAAATTAAAATTTATTTATAAATTTATTTATTTTTCATTTTTATTATTTTTTTTTTATTATCACTTCATTATTGCTTATTGCAAAACTGCAAAAGAATATTTTTTCTAGTAGAAACTATTAATTATGGTACATCCATATCAAATCATAAAGATACTAAGTTTTAATCAGATTTAAAAGAAATGAATTAAATAATGAGGTACCATGTTGTTTTCAACAGCAATATATATTATTTATACCTTAAACTCAATCCCAGAATTCACAGGATTTTTCTAAACCACAAATATCTTAATTTCTGTGACAACGAGCAAACCTTGATGAATCTGTGTATTCGCCTGCAGACTTGTTTTTTTTTTTTTTGTCGCCCTCATCATTAATCTTAAACGTACCTTCCTTCCTCCCTACATCCTTATTCGACGAGATGAGCAAAAAATGAACAGCTAATCAATATTCGTAGATTGAACTTGTTTTAAAAATTTCAATAGTGTGTCCAGTATAATCTGTGATCTGTCATTGGTGTATAAAGCCAGGAGACAATCTTAAGCTCCTTTCAGTACCGGCTTTCAATGATGGTGGCATTAG